CAATAAGGAAATAGTTGCCCATTTGCCATATCAGACATATTTGTAATTCTGTGAGCTTTCTATCTCTCCAACTGAGAGAAATAAAGTTGTCCCACTTATCTCCAGGCACCCATCTGTGAACAGTTCACAGTGGCAGTTCACCTCCAGCCCTGTCAGACTTCTTTGTATTTTAACTCTTACTTTTCACTGCTTGCAGGAGAACAAAGTATTTTGAGAGAGCGATAGTGAGATATTCATGCAAAGGATACATGTATTATATTGCATATAGATTGGGATGAGCATCAGTAGTGGATAATAAATACGGAAGAGATGAAGTGTATAGAAAGTGAAGGCTGATGCTGCTGAACGTTGATGGAATGTGAGGAGTGATACGATTGGAGAACATTTAGCAAGGCAGAACGAAAAGTGGTGGGGGTGGGTAGGGTTAAAGCACAGCATATAGTTGAAGCAGCAAAATATTTCACGTATTTAGCTGGTCAAATCATGAAACTATTTTCTGCACTGCCTCCATCCAATCGTGGCTGGATGCTATCTAATGCTAGAAGCATTATAGGCATGACAGGTGAATTAGTGTGAATTAATGCATGGAATTGTTGCCATCACAAAGACATGGCTGAGAGAGGGATTGGGTTGGCAACTTGACATTCTGGGTTATAGGAATTTCAGGCAGGACAGGGGAAGATGATTGAGACGTTTGAAGGGTCATCAAATCAGACTCTGTGGGTACAGCCTAGAAATAACATAATGAAAAAGGCAAGTCACACAAAGGGGAGTGTATCAGAGGACCCAAAACAGTCAGTGGCAGTTGGGGAGTAGATATGTAGACAATTCACAGAGGGGTTTAAAAACAATAAGGGGGTTATTAGATTACGGGATTTCAACTTTCCCCAATGTTAATTGGGTTATAAAAGTTTTAGAGGGCACCTATTTCTGCAAATGTGTTCAGGATAAGTTTTTTTTTTAAATCAACATGTAGATGGTCCGGCAAGGGATGCTGCAGTGCTGGACCCAATTCTGGGGAACGAAGCTGGGCAGGTATTCCAGATAGCGGGGTGGGGGGGAAGCATTTCAGTAATAGTGACTTTAACATTATACATTTTAAGCTTGATATGGAAAAGAAAAATGGTGGCCTCCGAAAAAAAAGGTTTTGGACTGGGGGAAGGCAGATTTTATTAAAATATGGCACAATCTCACCAAAGTAAGCTGGGAACAGCTAGCTGAGAGTAAATCCATAAGAGAACAGTGGGAGATGTTCAAAAAGGAATTGGACAGGACCAACATGTTCCCTTTAGCATGAAACATAGGTGCAACAAGCCCAGAGAACCCTGGATGTCAAGGAATATTCAGAACTGGATAAAAAGGAAAAGAAATAAGTATAACAGGTACAGAGGGAGCAAATCAACAGAGGCCCTAGTAAAATTTAGAATGTGAAGGTTGTTGGCGGGGGGGGGGGGGGGGGGGGGAGGGTTGGGAGCTTAAGAAAACGATTAGGAGAGCAAAGGGGAGCATTAGAAACATTGGTGAGCAAGATTAGGTCAAATTCCAAGATTTTCTACAAGTATATCAAGGGGAAGAGACTAACCAGAGTAAGAGTAGGGAACATTCGGGACCAAGGTGGAAATCTGTGTGTGAAGTCAGAGGATATTGGTACAGTGTTAAAGAAGTACTTCACATCTGTCTTCATTCAGGAGGAGGAGGAGGATATAGGTATCAGTTGAAGCATAGATATAAAAGCAAGGAAGTTATCTTGAAGCTGGCAGAATTTTGGTTAGGCGACAGCTGGAGTACTGTGTGCCATTCTGGTCACCACACTACAGGAAGGATATGATACACTGGAGGGTGTGCAGAGGAGATTGACCAGGATGTTGCCTGGGATGGAAGACTTTAGCTAAGAAGAGAGGCTGAATAAGCCTGGGTTGTTTCCTTTGGAGCAGAGAAGTTTGAAAGGGGCCCTGACTAATGTGTGTAAGATTATGAGGGGCATGGACAGGGTGGATAGAAAGCAACTGTAATCCTTAGTCGAAGGATCACTAACAAAGGAGTGGAATTTTGAGGTGAAAGGTGGGAGGTTTAGAAGAGAGTTGAAAACTTTTTCAACCAGAGATTGGTGAGGGTCTGGGAGGGTAGTTCAGGTGGGTAATCTCACAACCTTTAAAAAGTACTTGAATGAGCAGTTGAAATTTCATAACATTCAAGGCTATGGACCTAGTGCTGGAAATCCGGACATTTAGTGTCGCTTTGGCAGTATAGGCATGATGGGCCAAATGGCCTCTTCTGTACCAGTGTGATTCTATGATGCTATGATCCATGACCCAGACACCATGTCCCTTCTACACACCTCCTCAGTTACCTCCACTCAAGTCTCATGGCCAATCGTTCCTCATCAGTCTATCCTCAATTATCAGCAACAAGATGGAAAGGACTGTTGACAGTATTACCAGGCAACAATTAATCACCAATAACATGCTAATGGACAACCACTTTAGATTTACTTTGCAGTTCTAGACCTTATTACAGCCCTGGTCTAATTATGGACAAAACAATTGAATTTAACAGATGAGAGACATTTTCCTGGCTGTTACAGCAGTTTTTTGATTGAGGAACCAATGAGACTGAGAAAAATTTAAAACAACAGGGATCACAAGGAAACTCTTATTTGAAAAATGGTTGCATTTGGTGGAGACTCATCATCTTAGCTTAGTCCCCAGAACACCATGCAATAGTTCCTCAGGGTATTGTATGAGACCTCACTGTATCCACAGAATCCCTACAGTGTGGAAACAGGCCTTTTGACCCAACGAGTCCACACCCGCCCTTGGAGCATTCCACCAAGACCCATCCCCCTATAACCCACCCAATCTACACCTCCCTGAACACAACAGGCAATTTATCATGGCCAATCCACCTAGCCTGCACATCTTTGGACTGTGGGAGGAAACTGGAGTACCTGGAGGAAACCCACGCAGACAAGGGGAGAACATGCAAACTCCACACAGATAGTCATTTGAGCGTGGAATTGAATCTGGGTCCCTGGTGCTGTGAGGCAGCAGTGCTAACCACTGAGCCACCGTGCTGCCCTAAATTCCTGTATTCAGCTACTTATAGCATATACAGCTGCCCTGTATTCAGCTACTTCATCAATGACCTAACCTAGATCATAAGGTCTGAAGTAGGAATGCACTTCTTGAAATAATGAAGCCATCTGTGCCTGCACGAGATCTGGACAACATTTAGACTTGCGCTGACCTTTGACAACTAACATTTATGTTAGGTAAGGACTTACTCCAGAAAGGGAGAAGCTAACCTCTTCCCCAGCGTATTCAGTTGCATTTCCAACATAATATCCTTCACTAACAATATCCCAATGATCAACTCTGATTGGATCAGTCATGTAAATACTGTGGGTGCAAGAGAAGCTAAAGAAGCGAACATCCAACTCATGTTCTGACTCCTAAAAGCTTTACCACTGCCTATGAAGCACAAGCCAGGAGTGTGATGTAAAACTTTACACATGCCTAAATAAGCACAACTCTACAACACTCAAGAGGCTCCATATCATCCAGGTCAAAGCAACACACCTGATGAGCACTCCTTTCACCACTTTAAACATTCAATCCCTCTTAACACCATGGCACTGTGGCAGTTCTGTATACCATCTGCAAAATGCAATAACACTCCAGGCCTTTTTGAACATCATCTTTCTGTGCTCTCCAATTAGGATGGGCTACAGATATGTAGGAACACCACTGCCTCCAAGATCAAGTCCGAGCCACAGTCATTCTGACTTGGAAGTACATTACCAACTAATTATTGATGCTGGAAGCAAATCCTGGAGTTCAGACCTAATGGTACCTTCACCACATGGACTGCAGCGTTCATGAAGTAAACTCACCACCAACTTCTCAGGGGAATCAAGGATGCACAATAAAGCCTGGCCTTGTCAATCTTGCCTGCATCTTATGAATAAGATAAGACTGAGGAGGCATGGTGGCTCAGTGATTAGCACTGCTGCCTCACAGCACCAAGGACATAGGTTCAATTTCACCCTCAGGCAACCGTCTGTGTGGAGTTTGCACATCCTCCCAGTGTCTGCATGGGTTTCCTCCAACAGTCCAAAGATGTGCATGCTAGGTGGATTGGCCACACTAAATTCCTGATAGTGTTCAGGGATGTGTAGATTAGGTGGGTTGTAGTGGGGTGGGTCTGGGTGGGATGCTTTGAGGTTTGGTGTGGACTTGTTGGGCCAAAGGGCCTGTTTCCACACTGCAGAGTTGCTATAATTGCTATGCTACGACCTATAAAAAGGAACAAAGCAAGTGAATAAAATTGCAAATCTAATTTAAAGGTTATATTGTATTGCACACCATTGAGGTTGGCTACAAATTGAGCATGGCTAGACGAATATTCCAAGTTGTAAAATATATATTTACACAAGTCAGGGAAATTAGAAAAGTAGTAACATTTGTGATGAAAGAAGCTATTGCAGTATTAAAAAGGGCTTATTATTAAATGCAAATAGGCAACATAAGCTCTGGATATAGCTGAAAATGATGTAGGAATCTGACAAAGAGTAGTCAACACTGTTGTTGGATAAGACAACATAATGCATAGATACAAAGAGTAGCAGATTGTTGGAAAACAAAGTAGATATGGTATTTATTGAAAACTCACATTTAATGGGAAAAGCAGAACATGGAGGATTATGAAAAAGGAAGAAGGAATGGATACTGGAGTGAAAGAGGGCGAGGGAGAGGGGAGGGTGGTGGAAAAGGAGGAGTCAGAATGTCCCTGATCTGATGGTATAGTGGATAAACAGAATAGAGAAATCCCCATACTAGATCATTGTTCACTGGCTTTTGGGATCATTGATCTTATGCAAAAGACAGTTAAAATAAATTGGTACATTAGATCTGAAGAAGTACATCAACTTGAAATGTAACCTGTAGATGGATTGCAGTATCTCAAAAGTTGCACATAAAATTATTTACGTTTCATAAGAATTCAAGATTCTAACTATTTTATTTTACAGCAATCACCATTACTGCACATATTGGAAGTTTACCAATTATATAGTATGCACATGGTTAGCAAGTAAATCTGGAAGTTGCGGTAAATCACATGCTATGTCTATGCTATTCAAAAGCCTTGCAACGTTAATCATGACTTGCAAAAATCAAACAACAGGTACAGAACAAGTGAGAATTTGGGTTAATTAACCACTAATAACAAACCATTCACACAAAAATGTTTTGGGTGGTTACTTTGAGTCTGATCCCAAAATCCAGCTAATACATCCCAGGATATTGGATAAAAATGTAAATACAATAACTCCAAAAAGCAATAGTTTCCATGCTGGATAAACAATGTCAGAATTATTTTGCACAGAAATAGATAAGGATAGCTGAAGTATCCAGCATAGTTCAGAATGGACAATAATTGAGTTCATTTATTCGGTCTCATCATCCGTCCACAATTAAACACTTCATTTGTCAGGTCACATCTCCATGCCCATAAATCACAGTATATCTGGATAGCACTTAAAGAAGAGTTCAAATTCTCCACTCATGCTGACTTGCAAGTTATCATAAGGCACTAATTTATTCAATTTCGTTTTCATCACACTCCATTGCTAGCTGAAATCGAGGAATTGGAACATCTGTGATCCTCACAGTGCCAATTTCAGGTACAGGGTGTGTTAAGGTCTCCACATTGACCTCTTGACAAAATGGAACTAGGGAAATTTTGATGAAGATTTCAAAGTGTTCCCTGGATTCACCATCATCTTTTTCCAAATAGAATTGGTATTCCCCAAATCGCAAAATACATTTCCTTGGTAAATCGATCTTATTAAGGTGATCCAGACTTGCATTATTGACGAATAGTTTAGTCTTCAAGCTTGTATTTTTGATTTCAAAACAGAGTTCTGAGCTCTCACTGTGTCGAAAAGCTTGGATAGCAAACTGCATTCGAGAGGCACGTTTGTCCACTAGAGGAAAATGACACACTTTGGAATCACGGCCAAACATTACCATTTCTTCTACTCTGTATTTCTGTTTGCCAGTGTAATTCAGGGACTTAAATACTGTTGCCTGGGGGTGATAGACATTGATATTGAGACAAGTTACGGTCTCTTCAGTGTCCGCACTTTCAAAAGACATTGTGTTGTGCATTGACATTTCTGTAAAAGCAATAATGATCATTATTGTTTCTCTCCAATGCAAAATACGATGAAAATATACGTTATTGGCCGTGAAATACTTTGGGATGTTCTGAAGTTTTGAAAGGCACTATATCAATGCAACTGTTTTCTTTACATACCTTGACAATATAACTGTATATAACAATTCATCCCTACCAACAAAAATTGTGAAGAGTCGGCAGGGAAGCTTGAAGAGGACTTGAATAGGTTAAGTGAATGGGCAAGAATATAGTAATGGAATATGTGCGAACACAGTCAGTTTGGTAGAAAAATCAGAAAGGCAGACTATTTCTTAAAGTGTGACAGGCTGGGTAGTATAAGTGTCAAAAGGAATCTGGATGTCTTTGTTCATTAGTCTCTAAAATCTACCATGCAGGTGCAGCAAGGAATGAGGAAAGCAAATGGTATGGTGGTCTTCATCATAAGGGGATTTGTGTACAGGATTAAAAATGTCTTGCTGCAGTTGTATAGGGCCTTGGTAAGACCGTGCCTGGAGTATTATGTACAGTTTTGATCTCCATTTCTAAGGCATGATACACCTGCCTTAGAGGGAGTGCACAAAGCTTCACCAGATTAATCCCAGGAATGGCAAGATTGTTTTTATGAGGAGAGACTGAAAAGACTGGGCATGTATTCTACAGAGTTTCAAAGAGGGGGGAACCTCACTGAAACTCCAAAAAATTCATACAGGGTGTGACAGTGAATGTGTTTTTTTTCCCCTGGTGGCGAATCTAAAACCAAGGACTTCATTTCAGGATAAGGCGTAGATCATTTAAGACTGAGATGAGAAAAAGAATTTCCTCACCTAAACGGTAGTGAAGCTTGGGAACCTTCTATCCTGAGGGCTGTGGACTTTCAAGGATTCAGCATGTTCAAGACAGATATTAATAGATACCTGGAGGCTAATGACATTAAGGGGTATGGAGATAGTGCAGGAAAATGGGATTGATGTCAATTATCAGCTATGGTCTGACTGAATGGCCTAGCTTGCTTGACAGGCTGAATCACTAAGTCCTATTCCTATGTTCCAGTTTTATTTTCAAGGCATTTAAACTCATAATGAACCCAGCACTCTTAAGATAGTAAAATCTAGCTGATAGAAACACTAACAGCTCTAAGTAGCACCTTTATTTCTTTTTAAGCATATACCATTTTTTTTTTCACTATCAGCTTTCTAAGCTCCCAAAAACTGCATTCATTGTTGCACCTACTTAGACTGAATGATGAGGGCTGTCAAATTATCTCAATGATCCTGTTCAAACTGGAATTACTGCATATACGTTTCCAAGCTTCTGTGTTGGTTTCACTATAAACTGGTATTTGTTCTATAGTTACGAATGCATTTACGTTGCAGAGTAAATCGTATCTTCACAAAAATGTAACTATTCCACAACTTTGCTTATGTAGCAAAATTAGTTCATTAATGACAAATATCATGAATTTTAATTTCACCAGATTCAGCAAGGATCCAAGAAATTGTCAAACTTGTGGACTAGAAAATGCCAGCATAACCGGTTGCTACTATTAGAAAACTCCTAACAGTTTTTTAAAAAGATCTGAAGCAGAGCGTTCTGTACCATGCTGGGCAGAATCAGGTAAACAAGGACAAAGCGACTGGGATTGTTATTAGCAATACCCGAGCGAAATAGTTATTTTTCGACGACAGTGCAGTAATTGTTAAGTGTAATGTTCAGCAAGCGAAGCGCATACAACTCTGCAACGTTTCGGGGCGCGCACTCACAGGGTGGGCGTTAAGTTTAACGTCAGTGACCCAGGTTTTAGAGGAAAGGGGTCAGGACAGTCCGATCGCAACAAAGAATGCAGCGTTTCCATGGGAGGACTGAATGCAGAGCTTGCACGTCGATTAGGGGGAGGGGATTAAGTGGCGAGTAAAACTAAAAGTTTAAAAATGCAATATGATAATTTGAAAACAACAATCCAAATATGATATGGGTACGTCCCTGGCACTCTGGCCAATTTAATCCATAATGTTATGCGCAAAGCGTCCAGTCAATCCTGTACCTGATAAATATATGTTTAAAAAATGACAACGGATAACAAGCACCTTTTCCTCTGAGTCTATGTTTAATGTCTCCGGGGATCTCCGTGAACAAAGTAGCTCAACTCCTGTAATGTTTTTTTTCAGTGAATTGGTACCAACCTCGGAAACGCTTACCGACCTCACAAATTGCAAATATTCAATACAGCAGAAGACTGCGCCCAACGCTTCTCCGCGGATCCGAAAGCCAAAGAGCACAAACACTGATCAGGATCTGAAAAAGGACCTGACTCCTGTCTTTTCTGAAGAAGGGTCTAGGCCTGAAACGTCAGCCTTGCTGCTTGGCCTGCTGTGTTCATCCAGCTCTTGCACCTTGTTATTCTCAGATTCTCCAGCATCTGCAGTTCCTACGATCTCTGACTCCTCTCTTTGACGGACATCCGATTTATCGAATCAGAGCATCAGGCTGCTGGAAACTGACTGCCCCCGCTGCTATTTCACTAACTTTGGGGAATTACGTCGGAAGCACAGATTCGGCGCCGAAGGAGGCCCTTCGGCCCATAAAACGGAAGACCATAGGAGCAGAAATTAGGCCATTCGGCCCATCGAGTCTGCTCCGCCATTCAATCATTGGGTCTCTCCCGGTTCTATCACCCAGGACCAATCTCCTGCCTTTTCCCCACATCCCCGCACACTATTTTGAACCAAATAAGCATCCAATGCCGTCTTGAATGCCTCAATTAAATCTCCAATAAATTTCCAGGCGGCCCATTCCACACTTTACTCGCTGCGAGAAAGAGATTTTGTTTTCACATCAACGTTGCTTCATTTGCACGTGATTTTAATTTTTTTTAACCCAATGGGAATAGCTTCGCCCCTTCGATATCCAGCCTGTTTATGATTTTGGAGACCTCTTTCCAATCTTCTCTTCGCCTTATTTTCTCCACGGAACAGAGACCCAACCCAGACCCTTTAGATTGTGAAGTCGGAGTCAGCATCTGTGATCTTCATCTACTTCAGTTTAGAACTGAAATTATTTTGGTCCAAACACACGCACAACTGCTGTTGGTTGTAAATATGTACGATACTGACAACAATGGCAATTGTATAAAAACCGAAAGACCTGCCAATGCTGTAAATCAGAAGCAAAAAAAACCCAGAAATTGCTGCAAAAGTTTAGCAAATCTGGCAGCATCTGTGGAGAGAAAGCAGAGTCACCGTTGAGGGTCAAGAGACCCTTCCTCAGAACTGAAATAACTATTATATTCCTAGTGCAATGTAAACGGTTTTGAGTGGGGCTTGGAAGGTTAGAGAAGCCAGGAGAAGCGGTTGAGGAGGAAATATAGAGGGAGAGAGGTATGGGAACGAAGAATTAGAGAAATGGAAGAGGAAAAGGAATGGTTTAGAAAAGTGGGAAGGGGAAGAGGTGTGCGAGAGAGGGTGAAGGAATGGGGACAGCGAGCGAGCGAAGGGTAGGGATGGAAGAGGAGGGGGAACAGGGTGAAATGGGAGGGGAAAGGGGTGGATGGAAGAATGAAGGGATGAAAGAAGGATAATGAAGGGAGGTGGGTAAAAGAGTGTAAGGAGTGGGGGATAAGGCGTGGCGTGGCGTGGCGTGGGGTGGGGGTGAGGCGGGTGGGGGAAAAGGGGTGGGGGGTAAGGGGTGCGGGGAAAGGGGGAGTTGGTGGCAGGGAAAGAGTTGAAGGGAAAGGGGCGGAAAAGAGTGAGTAAGGGCGAAGGTGACGGGTGGAGGAGAAGAGGGTATGGTTCGAGTTCCACCTCCTCTCGAGGTGTGTAACTACATATCAGAATACGTTGGTTGGAAACTATCCCTCAGGGAAGGGAGGAGAGAATTGGAGGAGGTGAAGCTGGAGAAATGGGAAATGGGAGTGAAGGCGTAAAGAAAGGCGAAAGGAGAGGAGATAGTAGGAACTGCAGATGCTGGAGAATCCGAGACAACAAGGTGCAGGGCTGGACGAACACAGCAGGCCAAGCAGCATCACAGGAGCAGAGAGGCTGATGTTTCGGGCCTCGACCCTTCACCAGAAAAGGGGGAGGGGAAGGGGGTTCCGAAATAAATAGGGAGAGAGTGGGAGGGGATAGAAGAGGGATAGAGGAGAGGATAGGTGGAGAGGAAACAAACAGGTCGAAGAGGCGGGGATGGAGCCAGTAAAGGTGAGTGTAGGTAGGGAGTTAGGGAGGGGATAGGTCAGTCCAGGGAGGACGGACAGGTCAAGGGGGCGGGATGAGGTT